TGGGGGGTGGGGGGGGTGGGTTTTTGGGGGGTCCCACCCCAGGTTTTTACCTTAATTTTGGTGAAGAACTGTCGGAAACAGGCCCTGGGATCCACCTTGAGGCTCTTGGCCAACTCCAGGATGAACTGCATGACAATGGTCTGGTGGGCAACCTGCTCCATCAGGGCATGTTTCTGGGGGGACATGGAAAGAAAAGGGGTGAGGAACCCCCAAAAGTCCAAGCTTGGAGATCCTGGAGATCCCAGGATGGGTTTGGAGATGCTGGGATTGGGTTGGAGGGACTTGGGATGGGGTTTTGAAGGTCCTGAGATGGGTCTGGAGTTCCTGGGATGAGGTTTGAAGGAGCCAGGATGGACTTTTAGATCCTGGGATGGGGTTGGAGGATCCTGGGATGGGGTTGGAGATCCCTGGGATGGGGTTGGAGGGTTCTGGGATGGGATTGGAGGGTCCTGGGATGGGCTTGGAGATCCCTGGGATTGGTTTTGAGGGACCAAAGATGGGTTTCAAGGTCCAAAGACATGGATATGGAGGGTCCTGGGATGGACTTGGAAGGTTCTGAGATGGGTTTGGAGGAACCCAGGATGGGTTTTGAAGTCCAAGAATCAACTTGGAGAGTCCTGGGATGGTCTTGGAGATCCCTGGGATGGTCTTGGAAGGTCCTGGGATGGGTTTTGAGGGACCCAGGATGGGTTTCAAGGTCCAAGTATGGACTTGGAGATCCCTGGGATGGACTTGGAGATCCCTGGGATGGTCTTGGAAGGTCCTGGGATGGGTTTTGAGGGACCCAGGATGGGTTTCAAGGTCCAAGTATGGACTTGGAGATCCCTGGGATGGACTTGGAGATCCCTGGGATGGTCTTGGAAGGTCCTGGGAGGGGTTTTGAGGGACCTAGGATGGGTTTCAAGGTCCAAGAATGGACATGGAGGGTCCTGGGATGGACTTGGAGGGTCCTGGGATGGGTTTCAAGGTCCAAAGATGGACATGGATGGTCTTGAGATGGACTTGAAGGTCCAAAGATCAACTTGGAGGGTTTTCTGGGATGGACTTGGAGGGACCCAGGATGGGTTTTGAGGGAGCCAGGATGGGTTTCAAGGTCCAAAGATGGATTTGGAAGGTCCTGGGATGGACTTGGAGGGTCCAGGAGGGGTTTCAAGGTCCAAGGATGGACTTGGAGGGTCCTGGGATGGGTTTCAAGGTCCAAAGATGGACTTGGAAGGTCCTGGGATGGGCTTGGAAGGACCTGGGATGGGCTTGGAAGGTCCTGGGAGGGGTTTTGAGGGACCTAGGATGGGTTTCAAGGTCCAAGAATGGACATGGAGGGTCCTGGGATGGACTTGGAGGGTCCTGGGATGGGTTTCAAGGTCCAAAGATGGACTTGGAAGGTCCTGGGATGGGCTTGGAAGGACCTGGGATGGGCTTGGAAGGTCCTGGGAGGGGTTTTGAGGGACCTAGGATGGGTTTCAAGGTCCAAGAATGGACATGAATGGTCCTAGGATGGACTTGAAGGTCCAAAGATCAACTTGGAAGGTTTTCTGGGATCGACTTGGAGAGACCCAGGATGGGTTTTGAGGGAGCCAGGATGGGTTTCAAGGTCCAAAGATGGACATGGATGGTCTTGAGATGGACTTGAAGGTCCAAAGATCAACTTGGAAGGTTTTCTGGGATCGACTTGGAGAGACCCAGGATGGGTTTTGAGGGAGCCAGGATGGGTTTCAAGGTCCAAAGATGGATTTGGAAGGTCCTGGGATGGACGTGGAGGGTCCAGGAGGGGTTTCAAGGTCCAAGGATGGACATGGAAGGTCCTGGGATGGGCTTGGAAGGTCCTGGGATGGACTTGGGAGGATCCTGGGATGTTTGGAGGGTCCTGGGATGGGGTTTCAAGGTCCAAGGATGGATTTGGAGGGTCCTGGGATGGGCTTGGAAGGTCCTGGGATGGACTTGGGAGGATCCTGGGATGGACTTGGAGGGTCCAGGATGGGTTTCAAGGTCCAGGGATGGACTTGGAGGGTCCTGGGATGGACATGGAGGGTCCTGGGATGGACTTGGGAGGCTCCAGGATGAGACTGAAGATCCTGGAACGTTCTAGAAGCTCCTGAGATGATCCCAGGACGTTCCTCAAGATCCAACCCTTCCCATTTCCTCCCACCCCAACCCATTCCCAGCTGGAAAACCTGAGCAGAACCATCGATCCCCACCATCAATCTCTTCTCCCCCACTTTTCACCCCTCCCCCCAGCCCAGAATTCCAAGGATTTCACCCCAAAAATTCCCACCTCTTCCACCTCCAGGTCGATGCACCAAATCACCAGGTAATTGGCTGTTTCCTCACACACCAGTTGGGGGTTTTCCCCCAGGAATTTCTGGCTGTCATCCCAGCGTCGTAACATCCCTGGGAATGGGGGGAATGAGGGGGGATGGGATTTGGGGATCCCCCCCAAAATTGGGTCCCCAAAGGAGATCCCAGCCCCCCAAAATTGGGTCACCCAGGAGGTTCTGGTTCCAGTGTCATAATGGTGGGAATTGGGAGGGGGTTGGGGGAGTGGGAGAGGGATTTGGGGGGTGAGGAAGGGGTCTGGGGGGGGTTGGGGGGCCCCCAAAATAGATCCCAGCCCCCCCAAAATAGATCCCAGCCCCCCCCAAATTGGGTCCCCAAAGGAGATCCCAGCTCCCCAAAATTGGGTCACCCAGGAGGTTCTGGTTCTAGTGTTGTAATGGTGGGAACTGGGAGGGGGGTGGGGGGGT